TTCAGGAGTTTCTTAGGAGAAGTTGTTTAAAGCACTCCAGCATAACACTCTAGATGTGTCTCTGCAAACCTGATGAAACATTTCAGGATTAGTAGCCCATAGGAAGCAGGAAAATACATCGCCTTGGATGGCACAGAGGTGGGAGTGGCAGTTGTGCAGAACGCGCCTCATAGTCAAACATACTAAAGCAAGAAAAAAGACCTAGGATATATAGACCTGGTAGATCAGTAAATGACAGGTTAGACAGAACTGACTGTAATCATGAAATGCATTATGCAATCCTGTAACAGGTCACACATAGGCTAAGAATGTATACTGCATGACTTCAGCTGAAAGACTGAAAATGAGCATCAAACAAACCTTGCAAAGGGCCTTGCTCTACTGCACAACTTGATTCCAACTTACTCAGAGCCCACATCGTGCAATCTAAATCTCAGCTCATCCCAGATCAGTCAGTAAAAATACTGACTCACTGCTGGGGTTGCCCTTAACTCTAGCTCTAAACTGTCCAATCCCAGTTCCTTCCCAGCTCACCCCCAAGCTCAAGTTGCTCCCAAACTAACACACCTGCAGGGTCTTTCACATACAGCCACATGTATACCATTTGTGAAGGATCTGCTTTGCAGTGTAAATACTTGGCCTGCAGTGAGAAACAATCTGATGAGCTGCAAACAGAAAAAAAACCTCACACAAAACAATTCAGAAAGACAGTAAATTTCAATCTCTTGCTTCAGCTTTTACAGTTGCTTGATGGGAAAGGTACCCCTAGCTATGAATATTTTAGTGTGAAGAAGCCACATCTTATTGCCTCATCAAAATATATGCACATAATTCTCTCTCATTACTGTTCTATAAAACAAAACCATGTCAGGATGGTATCAAATAGAAGCACTAACACTCTTTTTACAAGCCATGTCAAAGCAGTTTAGCAAGGCAATTGTTGATAGCACTCATACTTCCCATGCAGAGCACAAGGCCACTGCATGGCTATGAGCAGAGCTGGAGCCTCATTCCCACTTTATTTGGCTACTGCACTCATCTGCCAATGAAAACATTCATACAACACACAATGATAGTCTGAATATATAGTTTCTTCTGTAGCCACATTCCTTGCTATTTACAATATAGTTTAATCATTAATAGGGTAGAATTTTCTCCATCAATATTACTACAAAGCATCCTTTGCTGAGTAGTAACAGGACATTATCGCACACCTTCCCAGTGCATCTGTTAAGGAAACACAGAACTTTCCAGAACTTTCAGCACACACTGAGCTATCTGCTTGCCTTCAGGTGTTTGTTCAAAGGCTCGTGGGCGTTATGAGAACCAGCTATGTTTGCCACAAATTTCACAGCAACTTCCAAAAAAATCTGTGGGGAATCTATTGCCTGAAGTTAAGTGGCAAGCATGTTTTGGCTGCACTTGTGTGTTTTAGGACTAGCAGACATCAGCACACCTGGGACCCATGCAACACCCAGCTGGTCCCTGCAGGTGAAAGGGACAGGAATAAACACTTTGTGTGAATCTGTACTGGACTAGATACACTGGTCACTTAGCAACCTCCACTTCTTGGACAGATACAGATGGTTAAACACCTGCAACTGTCTTCAAATCAGAGACGAGATTTTTCTCTCATGCTAGTCTGACACTTGAAAAGCTTTTTCCATTCTATATAGCTTCTCATGCTACATCTTTCCAAGAAGGAAGAGTTATCCATTACTGCAAGCAAGATTTGGAGTAACCCATTCAGTGACAAGAGAATAAGTTAAAATGAATATGAATATGGTCTTGAACACAGGGTGTTTTCCTGGGGAAAGTTTTTGTTTTACCTCCCTTTTTTTTTTTTGGTAAATACGCTGTCAGGAAATATAATCTGCATATCAATGTGTTTTATGCAATTCAGTACAAAATCACCTTCTGCCAACTAGAAATAAAATGTAGTACCAGACCACTTGTACCCCTTGTCACGCTTATCACTGAGTGGTGGCTGGCAGAGACTCGGCGCTGCTGGGCAGCCTGTTGGTCTGGGTGGGTAGGGCTGCATTCCCTGTGCTGCTGCTCACTTGGGGAAAACATTCCAGGATGACATTTGGCTTCCCTCTCCTTGGATCCACTGCTTAGGAACCAATGTGGTTCTCTCTCCTGATGTACCAAGGTGTATAACCAAGATGTTATAATTGCAATATAATCAAAAGAGTAAGGCAAAGTGTATAATCAAGATGTTATAATTGCAATATAATCAAAAGAGTAAGGCAAAGCAAACAGGGATCACAAAAGAGAATAAGTAGAAGAGCTTACCCTTGGGTTGAGCTCACTAGAAGATATCAAAGAGGAGGATCTCCAGAAGAGATCCTTCCCCTCTGGTAGCCAGCTCTTAAATAGGTCCAGGAGGGGTGGAGCCTGGCTCCACCCCTTCCGGTAGCACAGGTGAATTGCCTTCACCTGTGCTCCTCTGGCTGACTCATGGCTCACCTCAGGTGATCAATCAGAGGTTCAGGCCGTGACTCAGCAGTTGCCATACACAAGGACAGATATCTTGAGACAAAAGAACAGCACTGCAGTAACTGTGCCACTACTCCCAGTTTGCAGAGGGGGAACAAAGTTAATGAGTTCACATCCTTCTTTGCCAGCAGCAGTAGATGTCACTCTCAAAACTGATGGAGAAAATGAACAGTCAGACTAAGATTTCTTGACTCAATATTACTTCAAGTCTGAAAAGTTCATGAGGAGAATGAATATTGATAATATCTAGAGTTGTAATTATAAATGCAAAACAAACAAAAGCATCAATCTTCAAATACTTTAGAGAGATATAAGCTCCTGTGCTTCAGGGGAAGTTTCTGTGTTTTTCCCATTTTTCCCATCTTTGAAGACAGAAGGAAATTTCCCCGTGGAGCAGCTTAGGTGACAATTGCTTTTTCGTTAGGCTGCCTCTGAAACCTGTGGTTTAAACCTATCTGTGATAGCTCTGGACTACACAGATACTGGACTGATCCAATGTATTAACTCCCATATTTCTATTCTGAAAATACTATCAATTTTATATAAAACATTCTGCTTTGCTTCTTCATCGTATTTACTGCATGAATGACCCAGCATACAAATTTAATCTCTCTATTTTGAAAGCTTGAAGACAGCATTCCAGCCAGATAGTGATCTACTCAGGCTCTTTTATCTCTGTAATGGTCAATGCTGACATGTACTTACAGAGGCTGAAAAAACAATGACAAAATAAACACTAGGTAAAGAAAAATCATTTTTGCTGTTGACTCTGATAGCTCAGGATTTCTGCACATTACTGAGTCTGCTATGACTAAGGTCTGTTATGGTCTACCCAGATACAATGACTTTGGCTGACCATGTAGTTTATTGCAATTCTAATCGTCACTATCGATTCAGACACTCACTGACATTTTTCTGCACAGCCAAACATTATTTTAAGCACTGTGCTTTGCTATTATGGCTAATGTATTTGTGGCAAGTTACTCACCAGATGATCATGTGCTTGATTTTCAGACATTATGTCAGTTCTATTCCAATTCATATTTTCCTCAAGAAGGACACTTCATTAGGCATATTGGTTATGTTTTGACAGCAGCAGCATGGATGCCAGTTTATGGGTGGTTTTATTGTTTGGTTGGCTGGTTGGGGTGTTCTCTTGCTGTTTTCTAAATAATGTAATAACCACTTTTTGGCACTTTGAGATGTTCCTCTGCATGTGAGCAGAATGTGATGCAACAGCTGGACGTACATCAGTGACAGCCATAAGGGAGCCATCTTGGTAGGAAGAACAAAATAGAGATTTGTGATGCAGATTACCTCTCCTAAGTAGTGAGATTCGTGTAGGGAATTCTGCGGTCCTCCTAAACAAGTTATCCCTCTCCTATTGTATCTTGTTTTACTGGTGCTTTATCTTTAAAAAGGAGTTATGGACATTTCACATGGTAATGGTGTGATCAAACACTTCAGAACCAAGCACTTAACGCTTACTTTAATCATCGAAATTAGATGCATGTTTACATGATTAAGGAGAAAACAAAGAAGAGAGCTGAAGCTGCCTTAAGAAGCTGCAGGACTGTAGCTGTATAAAAATATGTTTCTTTTTAAGGCACTTATAAAAATCCTAAACTTTCATAAAGAAGTTATACTGAGCCATTTGTAGTGACACACTAAAAAGTGATTTATTATCCTGTATAGCTCTCTATAAAGGCAGTACATGGAGGCATCTGTCAGGTTTGCTCCGAGGACAGAAATAGACTTCACGGTTTGGATGCCAAATTATATTTGACATTTAATTTACCATCTATGAAGCTGTAATATTTCACCTAAGCAGAATGGGAAGGAAACAGTAGGAAATTCCATTTTCCAAAAAGAAATACCAACACTCGTTGCAGTCAATAATCAGATAACTAAAGAAATAGATTGTTGACCACAGTAAAGTACATCTGTATGGGAACTGCTGAGTCACGGCCTGAACCTCTGATTGATCACCTGAGGTGAGCCATGAGTCAGCCAGAGGAGCACAGGTGAAGGCAATTCACCTGTGCTACCGGAAGGGGTGGAGCCAGGCTCCACCCCTCCTGGACCTATTTAAGAGCTGGCTACCAGAGGGGAAGGATCTCTTCTGGAGATCCTCCTCTTTGATATCTTCTAGTGAGCTCAACCCAAGGGTAAGCTCTTCTACTTATTCTCTTTTGTGATCCTTGTTTGCCTTACTCTTTTGATTATATTGCAATTATAACATCTTGGTTAT